GCAAGACGTGCAGCAGCATCGCGTGTGGCCCACTTGGAGCGAACAGTGGGGTCAGCATCAGCAGCAGGGGCAGGGACAGCGCCAGAGGCAAAGTCAAAGAGAGAAATGTCATCTACCGAATCGCACTGCAAGTACAGCTGCAGGTCGTCGACCCAGACCTCAAAGTCAATGGCGCGACCCTCAGTGTCAAAAGCCAGGACACTAGGGGTGGCCATGACAGCAGTCGACAGTCTCACCAGAGAGGACGGGTCGGGCAGCTCAGCAGCACAGCAACACGGCAACACAGCAGCTCCGCCGGCCGAGTAGTAACAGTAGCCCCACAGGACCAGCAGCTCGGCTCCTCATGCGGCTCGGGCGGCTCGGACGGCTCGGGCGGCTCGGGCGCTCGGCGGCACAGGCGGCTCGGGCGGCTCGGGCGGCTCGGCTCCTCAGCAGCGTAGGCGGCTCGGGCGGCTCGGGTGACGCGGGTGGCACGGGCGGCTCGGGCGTCGAAGGGCCGGGACGGCGTGGCGCGAGGGCGGCTGGGAGCGGGGCCGGGGCGGGCGGCTCACGGGTGGCTCGGGGCCGGGACGGGCTGCTCACGAGCGGCTCACGGGCGGCGCACGGGCGGCTCACGGGCGGCTCACGGGCGGCTCACGGGCGGCTCACGGGCGGCGCTTCGGGCGGCTCACGGGCGGCTAAGGGCGGCGCACGGGCGGCGTGGTGCCTGTTGGGCGGCGCGAGGGCGGCCTGGGGCCTGGCGGGCGGCGCGCGGGTGGCTAAGGGCGGCGCACAGACGGCGCGTGGGTGGCCTGGGGCCTGGCGGGCGGCGCGCGGGCGGCCTGGGGCCTGGTGGGCGGCACGCGGGCTGCTTAGGGCGGCGCGCGGGCTGCTAAGGGCGGCGCGCTGGCTGCTAAGGGCGGCGCGCGGGCTGCCAAGGGCGACGCACGGGTTGCTAAGGGCGGCGCGCGGGCTGCACGGGGCCTGGACAGGCGGCGCGCGAGCGTCTAGGGTGGCGCGCTGGTAGCGTGAGGCCTGAACGGGCGACGCGCGGGCGGCTAAGAGCCGGTCGACAGAGGTAAGAGAGAGCCCGGAGCGCGCTCATGGCAGAAAAAAAAAAAATCGAAGTAGTGGTGGGCCCTAAGCACAGTTCCCACAGGGGAACCTACTCGATACCATGAGAAGAATAGAACGAGAATGAATGAACTATGAACGAAGTGAGTACAAATAGGAAACCCTAATTGGGTTGTACCCCCTATGGGATACCCCACTATAGCCTACACAAGTAAGTAAGCTATAATGTTCTGACAACTAGCAGAGGCCAAAGGCGTCTATTACGTAAAAACAGGCACCAACCGCATCTGGGTACCCGCGTACTCACTACTGAGGGAAATGTTAGTACAGGAAGCACACGACGGGATTACCTCGGGACATTTCGAGGTAGAAAAAACGCGACAGCAACTACAGCGGTATTACTACTAGCCGGAGCTGTTGACCGATCTATAGCACCACGTGGGCTCGTGTCCTACGTGTCAGGTGATGAAGAGCTCGCGAAAAAGAAAGGGTTACCATGGATTTCGTCACAGGGTTACCTTCGAACCCTGGGGGTAACGACGAAGTTATGGTCGTCGTTGATAGGTTGACGAAGATGACACACTTCGCTGCGTGCAAGAAATCGATCTCAGCCAAAGAAATCGCTCGCCTGTTCATCGCAACCGTTGTTCGACTGCACGGGATATCGGCTGCGATAATCAGCGACCGCAACACGAAGTTTACCAGCAACTTCTGGAAAAACCTCTGGGAGCAGTTCGGGACAAGGCTACAGTTCAGCTTGTCGTACCACCCCGAGACCGACGGTCAAACTGGGCGGAAGAATCAGACGATGGAGCAGTTGATTCGTGCCACGTGCGACGACCCGACCACTTGGGAGCAACAGCTGTCGCTGATCGGGTTCGCGTACAACAACGCCACGTCAGCGACGATGCAGCAGTCCCCTTTCTAAACTACGGGCAAAATCCTACAGTGCCCATGACGCCGAGTCCGGACAACCCAACACCACGTGCACAGCAATTCACACCAGAGCCGTAGAAGCAATTAAAAAAGCCAATGTCATCGCTAAGCGCAACACCGACCGCCACCACCGCCCAGTCACGTACCAGTCAGGAGACTACGTACTGCTCGACACACAGAACTTAAGACTTCCCGTCGTACAGTACGACCCCGCTACTGTGGACCATTCCAAATCAGCCACATGATTACCCAAGTGACAGCCCACCTACTGTTGCCGACGGACTGGTACATCAGCCCTTCGTTCCACGTCAGCCTGCTTCGCCCATACATCCCAACCACAAGCCAACTGCCTCGTCACCGCCCGCCATCCATGACTCGCCCTGCATCGGAACCGAGCATCGAGCCCGAAAAAAACGTGAGCCATCGGATTCGACACCCCACGGGAATCAGGAGGATTGAATTCCTCGTTCGCTGGAAGGACCGCACGCCAACTGAAGATAGCTGGGTGCCCCTGGCCAACATCGAAAACCACCCTGCCCTGCAAGTGTACCCGAGGAGCCGGGGTTTCCGCGATATACACGCACACGCGTAGCGGAGGCGGCTTCTTGAGGGGTGAGGGGGTAGTGTAAGGAATTTTCTCGATATTCCGTAGCGCACCCTGCAACACCGCATACAGCAGCAGCCGTTGTTCGCCCGTTACTGCTAACGGGGCTTCGCCGACTTCGTGCGCACTGCTTTACCAAACCTCGCACTGCTGGACCGGCCGTGTCGGCCTACGCTTCGGGACTAGCCCGAGCCTCGCTTCCAGTGCAGCACTAGCTAGCTCGCACACACCGCGTTACCGTCTGCATGTCTCGCGTATAAATGTTCGCTCATGCCTTCACTCACATTTTGTACTAGTTTGACACCTTAGTGCAATTATTGCTACTTAGATCCATTGCACCCGTAACAAATACAATTTCTAGCTGAGGCACCGTTCAGGTGAACTAGGCTTTCAGAAGAAAACTGTACACATCCTCTTTCTCGAGTAATCCATCTTCAGTAGTCAATCTAGGTCGCGAAAACTGTACGCTCACTGTCAAACTCGTCCCCTGCATTCCAACGTCGTCGTCATCATGCCACCTCATCCACATCGAGTCTCCACCAGTTCTTGCCAGCAGCTGGCTTCGCAAGAACTGCCCGATCGTCCAAACCAACTCAGCACCGAAGCACAATGAGTAGCGAGCGAGCCGACTAGCCTGGTAACTTGTTGCTCTTTAATTCGTGAACATGAGGTTTTACGTTCGCGAAACTGTTTTCCCAGTGTCGCCATTTCGCTCACTCCCTCACCTTGCTCCTCCTACTCATCTAGGTTTGTGCATCCATACTTCATGATTGAATGTCACTCAAATTCTTGATCTTTTCTCCTTACTGGTAGTCGTAGCTGACAAGCGCTCTACACCGTAGTTACTATTCATCTATTGCTCGCTTATTTAGCCGCGAAGTAATTCTGGAGCCTTCTGTGCTTCGATTTTTCGTTACCTGGATGATAGATTCATACAGTAAACACGCCTCTTCGAGACCCTCTGATCTATGCTCGCAGATTCCACTGTGTATTATTTGCTTACCAGACGCCTCCACTTGTCATTCCACGTCTCCTTTGTTTGTTATAGCAGCAGCAATGCCCTATTCCCCCACCGATTCATCAATACAGGACGTGCTGGTCACACGACACCTTGACGCATAGTCAGATACCCCAAGCGTTTCATCCGCCTGGTGACAGGAACTTCCTCGGCACAGAATACCATTACTAGTGGTTCCATCTGCCCAGAGGCAACAAAAACCCCGCTAGAAGCAGTGTATCTCAAAATGTACATGGACAAAGTCATAGCCATTGTGTCAGGGTCTGTAGCTGGTGCCGCCCTCCTGTTGTTTTTGCTGGCCGTTTTTTCCGACACTCTAAAAAAAAAATGGGCTGGCTTGGTGGGTTTCTTTGACCTTTCAAGCAAGGGTGGTCACGTGGTCCCAGGACCGATGCCTCCAGCTTCTGCAGGCAAACCCTCCAAGTTCACACCACCATCCAACAATTATCGTTTGCCACGTGTCGCACCGCCACCGGTCAAGCAGCCTCCAAAAATAATCACATCACCCACTGCGGCACAGGTACCTAAAAGGTTGACCGGGGCATTTAATGGAACGGCAGCACCAGCGGTAGTAGCAGTCGTAGCAGCTGCACCAGCACCACGAGCACGACCAGCAGTGGCAGCAGCACCAGCACCACGACCGCCACGACCAGCAGTAGCAGCAGCACCAGCACCACGACCACCACGACCAGCAGTGGCAGCAGCACCGCCAGCTGTGGCAGCAGCAGGAGCTGGAGTGGTCCTAGGGCAAGTGGTTGTTGACATACCTTCTGCGTCAGCAATGGCAGCAAAAGAAGCACCCGCAGCAGCAGCAGCGGCGGCGGCGGCATTAGAGGTGGGTCAAGCAGGGATAAAGGGACGATCAAGCGAATCATTGTGCCAAGCAGGGCGCTCAGCAACACCAGCAGCAGTGGGGGCAGCAGAAGAAGCAGCAGCCGCTGCAGCTGCCGCAGCTGCTGCAGTGGCATTTCCAGCAGCTCCACCAGCGCCAGCAGTGCAGCCACTGCTTTGTGCTGCAGGGGGTGCTGGGCTAGACGTGTGCCAGCGATTCACTCTGCAATAGATGGCTCGAGCGACAGGGGAGTGGGCAGAGAGCAACCGCATAGGCAGCGGCAGCTTTGGCGATGTGTACAGGGGGGTGAATCCGCGGAACCCCAAGGAGGTGTGGGCTGTGAAGCGAGCCCGCGTGCTCACCAACGACTTCCGACGCGAGGTGAGACACAGCAGGTGGTGGTGAGACTCCCTGTCATGTTCTGTAATCGCTTGGTAGTTTCAAAAGTATCCACACCGTGTTACTGGGTGTGAGTGGTGTGTTGTTAGCGCTTGTTGTTGTTGTGGTGTGAATGCTGTCAGTAGGGTGTCTTCTGTGGGAGTGGTGATTGTTGGAAAATGTTGTCCGTAGGGTGTCTTTCCTTCAGTCCAACCAGTTTCCCAATGCTGTTCCCCAACCTCCTTTCTTCCTTTCAGCCAACTTCCTCCCAACCTGCTTTACCCCAGCTCACTTCCTTTCAGCCAACTTCCTCCCAACCTGCTTCCCCCCAGCTCACTTCCTTTCAGCCAACTTCCTCCCAACCTGCTTCCCCCCAGCTCACTTCCTTTCAGCCAACTTCCTCCCAACCTGCTTCACCCCAGCTCACTTCCTTTCAGCCAACTTCCTCCTAACCTGCTTCTCCCCAGCTCACTTCCTTTCAGCCAACTTCCTCCCAACCTGCTTCCCCCAAGCTCGTTTCCTTTCAGCCAACTTCCTCCTAACCTGCTTCACCCCAGCTCACTTTCTTTCAGCCAACTTCCTCCCAACCTGCTTCACCCCAGCTCACTTCCTTTCAGCCAACTTCCTCCTAACCTGCTTCCCCCCAGCTCACTTCCTTTCAGCCAACTTCCTCCCAACCTGCTTCCCCCCAGCTCACTTCCTTTCAGCCAACTTCCTCCCAACCTGCTTCCCACCAGCTCACTTCCTTTCAGCAAACTTCCTCCTAACCTGTTCCCCCCAGCTCACTTCCTTTCATCCAACTTCCTCCCAACCTGCTTCCCACCAGCTCACTTCCTTTCAGCAAACTTCCTCCTAACCTGCTTCCCCCCAGCTCACTTCCTTTCAGCCAACTTCCTCCCAACCTGCTTCCCCCCAGCTCACTTCCTTTCAGCCAACTTCCTCCTAACCTGCTTCCCCCCAGCTCACTTCCTTTCAGCCAACTTCCTCCCAACCTGCTTCCCACCAGCTCACTTCTTTTCAGCAAACTTCCTCCTAACCTGTTCCCCCCAGCTCACTTCCTTTCATCCAACTTCCTCCCAACCTGCTTCCCACCAGCTCACTTCCTTTCAGCAAACTTCCTCCTAACCTGCTTCCCCCCAGCTCACTTCCTTTCAGCCAACTTCCTCCCAACCTGCTTCCCCCCAGCTCACTTCCTTTCATCCAACTTCCTCCCAACCTGCTTCCCACCAGCTCACTTCCTTTCAGCAAACTTCCTCCTAACCTGCTTCCCCCAAGCTCACTTCCTTTCAGCCAACTTCCTCCCAACCTGCTTCCCCCCAGCTCACTTCCTTTCAGCCAACTTCCTCCCAACCTGCTTCACCCCAGCTCACTTCCTTTCAGCCAACTTCCTCCAAACCTGCTTCCCCCCAGCTCACTTCCTTTCAGCCAAATTCCTCCCAACCTGCTTCCCACCAGCTCACTTCCTTTCATCCAACTTCCTCCTAACCTGCTTCCCCCAATCTCACTTCCTTTCAGCCAACTTCCTCCCAACCTGTTTCCTCCCAGCTCACTTCCTTTCAGCCAGCTTCCTCCCAACCTGCTTCCCCCCAGCTCATTTCCTTTCAGCCAACTTCCTCCTAACCTGCTTCCCCCCAGCTCACTTCCTTTCAGCCAACTTCCTCCCAACCTGCTTCCCCCCAGCTCACTTCCTTTCAGCCAACTTCCTCCCAACCTGCTTCCCACCAGCTCACTTCCTTTCAGCAAACTTCCTCCTAACCTGCTTCCCCCCAGCTCACTTCCTTTCAGCCAACTTCCTCCCAACCTGCTTCCCCCCAGCTCACTTCCTTTCAGCCAACTTCCGCCCAACCTGCTTCCCACCAGCTCACTTCCTTTCAGCAAACTTCCTCCTAACCTGCTTCCCCCCAGCTCACTTCCTTTCAGCCAACTTCCTCCCAACCTGCTTCCCCCCAGCTCACTTCCTTTCAGCCAACTTCCTCCTAACCTGCTTCACCCCAGCTCACTTCCTTTCAGCCAACTTCCTCCTAACCTGCTTCTCCCCAGCTCACTTCCTTTCAGCCAACTTCCTCCCAACCTGCTTCCCCCAAGCTCGTTTCCTTTCAGCCAACTTCCTCCTAACCTGCTTCACCCCAGCTCACTTCCTTTCAGCCAACTTCCTCCTAACCTGCTTCCCCCCAGCTCACTTCCTTTCAGCCAACTTCCTCCCAACCTGCTTCCCACCAGCTCACTTCCTTTCATCCAACTTCCTCCTAACCTGCTTCCCCCCAGCTCACTTCCTTTCAGCCAACTTCCTCCCAACCTGCTTCCCCCTAGCTCACTTCCTTTCAGCCAACTTCCTCCCAACCTGCTTCCCTCCAGCTCACTTCCTTTCAGCAAACTTCCTCCTAACCTGCTTCCCCCCAGCTCACTTCCTTTCATCCAACTTCCTCCCAACCTGCTTCCCACCAGCTCACTTCCTTTCAGCAAACTTCCTCCTAACCTGCTTCCCCCCAGCTCACTTCCTTTCAGCCAACTTCCTCCCAACCTGCTTCCCCCCAGCTCACTTCCTTTCAGCCAACTTCCTCCTAACCTGCTTCCCCCCAGCTCACTTCCTTTCAGCCAAATTCCTCCCAACCTGCTTCACCCCAGCTCACTTCCTTTCAGCAAACTTCCTCCTAACCTGCTTCCCCCAAGCTCACTTCCTTTCAGCCAACTTCCTCCCAACCTGCTTCCCCCCAGCTCACTTCCTTTCAGCCAACTTCCTCCCAACCTGCTTCACCCCAGCTCACTTCCTTTCAGCCAACTTCCTCCAAACCTGCTTCCCCCCAGCTCACTTCCTTTCAGCCAAATTCCTCCCAACCTGCTTCCCACCAGCTCACTTCCTTTCATCCAACTTCCTCCTAACCTGCTTCCCCCAATCTCACTTCCTTTCAGCCAACTTCCTCCCAACCTGTTTCCTCCCAGCTCACTTCCTTTCAGCCAACTTCCTCCCAACCTGCTTCCCCCCAGCTCACTTCCTTTCAGCCAAATTCCTCCCAACCTGCTTCCCACCAGCTCACTTCCTTTCATCCAACTTCCTCCTAACCTGCTTCCCCCAATCTCACTTCCTTTCAGCCAACTTCCTCCCAACCTGCTTCCTCCCAGCTCACTTCCTTTCAGCCAACTTCCTCCCAACCTGCTTCCCCCCAGCTCACTTCCTTTCAGCCAACTTCTCCCCAACCTGCTTCCCCCCAGCTCACTTCCTTTCAGCCAACTTCCTCCCAACCTGCTTCCCCCAAGCTCACTTCCTTTCAGCCAACTTCCTCCAATCCTACTTCCCCCCAGCTCACTTCCTTTCAGCCAACTTCCTCCCAACCTGCTTCCCCCAAGCTCGTTTCCTTTCAGCCAACTTCCTCCTAACCTGCTTCACCCCAGCTCACTTCCTTTCAGCCAACTTCCTCCTAACCTGCTTCCCCCCAGCTCACTTCCTTTCAGCCAACTTCCTCCCAACCTGCTTCCCACCAGCTCACTTCCTTTCATCCAACTTCCTCCTAATCTGCTTCCCCCCAGCTCACTTCCTTTCAGCCAACTTCCTCCCAACCTGCTTCCCCCTAGCTCACTTCCTTTCAGCCAACTTCCTCCCAACCTGCTTCCCTCCAGCTCACTTCCTTTCAGCAAACTTCCTCCTAACCTGCTTCCCCCCAGCTCACTTCCTTTCATCCAACTTCCTCCCAACCTGCTTCCCACCAGCTCACTTCCTTTCAGCAAACTTCCTCCTAACCTGCTTCCCCCCAGCTCACTTCCTTTCAGCCAACTTCCTCCCAACCTGCTTCCCCCCAGCTCACTTCCTTTCAGCCAACTTCCTCCTAACCTGCTTCCCCCCAGCTCACTTCCTTTCAGCCAAATTCCTCCCAACCTGCTTCACCCCAGCTCACTTCCTTTCAGCAAACTTCCTCCTAACCTGCTTCCCCCAAGCTCACTTCCTTTCAGCCAACTTCCTCCCAACCTGCTTCCCCCCAGCTCACTTCCTTTCAGCCAACTTCCTCCCAACCTGCTTCACCCCAGCTCACTTCCTTTCAGCCAACTTCCTCCAAACCTGCTTCCCCCCAGCTCACTTCCTTTCAGCCAAATTCCTCCCAACCTGCTTCCCACCAGCTCACTTCCTTTCATCCAACTTCCTCCTAACCTGCTTCCCCCAATCTCACTTCCTTTCAGCCAACTTCCTCCCAACCTGTTTCCTCCCAGCTCACTTCCTTTCAGCCAACTTCCTCCCAACCTGCTTCCCCCCAGCTCACTTCCTTTCAGCCAACTTCCTCCCAACCTGCTTCCCCCCAGCTCACTTCCTTTCAGCCAACTTCCTCCCAACCTGCTTCCCCCAAGCTCACTTCCTTTCAGCCAACTTCCTCCAAACCTACTTCCCCCCAGCTCACTTCCTTTCAGCCAACTTCCTCCTAACCTGCTTCCCCCCAGCTCACTTCCTTTCAGCCAACTTCCTCCTAACCTGCTTCCCCCCAGCTCACTTCCTTTCAGCCAACTTCCTCCTAACCTGCTTCCCCCCAGCTCACTTCCTTTCAGCCAACTTCCTCCCAACCTGCTTCCCACCAGCTCACTTCCTTTCATCCAACTTCCTCCTAACCTGCTTCACCCCAGCTCACTTCCTTTCAGCCAACTTCCTCCTAACCTGCATCCCCCCAGCTCACTTCCTTTCAGCCAAATTCCTCCCAACCTGCTTCCCCCCAGCTCACTTCCTTTCAGCCAACTTCCTCCTAACCTGCTTCCCCCCAGCTCACTTCCTTTCAGCCAACTTCCTCCTAACCTGCTTCCCCCCAGCTCACTTCCTTTCAGCCAACTTCCTCCTAACCTGCTTCCCCCAAGCTCACTTCCTTTCAGCCAACTTCCTCCCAACCTGCTTCCCCACAGCTCACTTCCTTTCAGCCAAATTCCTCCCAACCTGCTTCCCCCCAGCTCACTTCCTTTCAGCCAACTTCCTCCCAACCTGCTTCCCACCAGCTCACTTCCTTTCAGCCAACTTCCTCCCAACCTGCTTCCCCCCAGCTCACTTCCTTTCAGCCAAATTCCTCCCAACCTGCTTCCCACCAGCTCACTTCCTTTCATCCAACTTCCTCCTAACCTGCTTCCCCCAATCTCACTTCCTTTCAGCCAACTTCCTCCCAACCTGCTTCCTCCCAGCTCACTTCCTTTCAGCCAACTTCCTCCCAACCTGCTTCCCCCCAGCTCACTTCCTTTCAGCCAACTTCTCCCCAACCTGCTTCCCCCCAGCTCACTTCCTTTCAGCCAACTTCCTCCCAACCTGCTTCCCCCAAGCTCACTTCCTTTCAGCCAACTTCCTCCAATCCTACTTCCCCCCAGCTCACTTCCTTTCAGCCAACTTCCTCCTAACCTGCTTCCCCCCAGCTCACTTCCTTTCAGCCAACTTCCTCCCAACCTGACTCCCCCCAGCTCACTTCCTTTCAGCCAACTTCTTCCTAACCTGCTTCCCCCCAGCTCACTTCCTTTCAGTCAACTTCCTCCCAACCTGCTTCCCCCCAGCTCACTTCCTTTCAGCCAACTTCCTCCAAACCTTCTTCCCCCCAGCTCACTTCCTTTCAGCCAACTTCCTCCAAACCTTCTTCCCCCCAGCTCACTTCCTTTCATCCAACTTCCTCCTAACCTGCTTCCCCCAATCTCACTTCCTTTCAGCCAACTTCCTCCCAACCTGTTTCCTCCCAGCTCACTTCCTTTCAGCCAACTTCCTCCCAACCTGCTTCCCCCCAGCTCACTTCCTTTCAGCCAACTTCCTCCTAACCTGCTTCCCCCCAGCTCACTTCCTTTCAGCCAACTTCCTCCCAACCTGCTTCCCCCCAGCTCACTTCCTTTCAGCCAACTTCCTCCCAACCTGCTTCACCCCAGCTCACTTCCTTTCAGCCAACTTCCTCCAAACCTGCTTCCCCCCAGCTCACTTCCTTTCAGCCAAATTCCTCCCAACCTGCTTCCCACCAGCTCACTTCCTTTCATCCAACTTCCTCCTAACCTGCTTCCCCCAATCTCACTTCCTTTCAGCCAACTTCCTCCCAACCTGTTTCCTCCCAGCTCACTTCCTTTCAGCCAACTTCCTTCCAACCTGCTTCCCCCCAGCTCACTTCCTTTCAGCCAACTTCCTCCCAACCTGCTTCCCCCCAGCTCACTTCCTTTCAGCCAACTTCCTCCCAACCTGCTTCCCCCAAGCTCACTTCCTTTCAGCCAACTTCCTCCAAACCTACTTCCCCCCAGCTCACTTCCTTTCAGCCAACTTCCTCCAAACCTTCTTCCCCCCAGCTCACTTCCTTTCAGCCAACTTCCTCCAAACCTTCTTCCCCCCAGCTCACTTCCTTTCATCCAACTTCCTCCTAACCTGCTTCCCCCAATCTCACTTCCTTTCAGCCAACTTCCTCCCAACCTGTTTCCTCCCAGCTCACTTCCTTTCAGCCAACTTCCTCCCAACCTGCTTCCCCCCAGCTCACTTCCTTTCAGCCAACTTCCTCCTAACCTGCTTCCCCCCAGCTCACTTCCTTTCAGCCAACTTCCTCCCAACCTGCTTCCCCCCAGCTCACTTCCTTTCAGCCAACTTCCTCCCAACCTGCTTCACCCCAGCTCACTTCCTTTCAGCCAACTTCCTCCAAACCTGCTTCCCCCCAGCTCACTTCCTTTCAGCCAAATTCCTCCCAACCTGCTTCCCACCAGCTCACTTCCTTTCATCCAACTTCCTCCTAACCTGCTTCCCCCAATCTCACTTCCTTTCAGCCAACTTCCTCCCAACCTGTTTCCTCCCAGCTCACTTCCTTTCAGCCAACTTCCTTCCAACCTGCTTCCCCCCAGCTCACTTCCTTTCAGCCAACTTCCTCCCAACCTGCTTCCCCCCAGCTCACTTCCTTTCAGCCAACTTCCTCCCAACCTGCTTCCCCCAAGCTCACTTCCTTTCAGCCAACTTCCTCCAAACCTACTTCCCCCCAGCTCACTTCCTTTCAGCCAACTTCCTCCTAACCTGCTTCCCCCCAGCTCACTTCCTTTCAGCCAACTTCCTCCTAACCTGCTTCCCCCCAGCTCACTTCCTTTCAGCCAACTTCCTCCTAACCTGCTTCCCCCCAGCTCACTTCCTTTCAGCCAACTTCCTCCTAACCTGCTTCCCCCCAGCTCACTTCCTTTCAGCCAACTTCCTCCCAACCTGCTTCCCCACAGCTCACTTCCTTTCAGCCAAATTCCTCCCAACCTGCTTCCCCCCAGCTCACTTCCTTTCAGCCAACTTCCTCCCAACCTGCTTCCCACCAGCTCACTTCCTTTCAGCCAACTTCCTCCCAACCTGCTTCCCCCCAGCTCACTTCCTTTCAGCCAAATTCCTCCCAACCTGCTTCCCACCAGCTCACTTCCTTTCATCCAACTTCCTCCTAACCTGCTTCCCCCAATCTCACTTCCTTACAGCCAACTTCCTCCCAACCTGCTTCCTCCCAGCTCACTTCCTTTCAGCCAATTTCCTCCCAACCTGCTTCCCCCCAGCTCACTTCCTTTCAGCCAACTTCCTCCCAACCTGCTTCCCCCCAGCTCACTTCCTTTCAGCCAACTTCCTCCCAACCTGCTTCCCCCAAGCTCACTTCCTTTCAGCCAACTTCCTCCAAACCTACTTCCCCCCAGCTCACTTCCTTTCAGCCAACTTCCTCCTAACCTGCTTCCCCCCAGCTCACTTCCTTTCATCCAACTTCCTCCCAACCTGACTCCCCCCAGCTCACTTCCTTTCAGACAACTTCTTCCTAACCTGCTTCTCCCCAGCTCACTTCCTTTCAGTCAACTTCCTCCCAACCTGCTTCCCCCCAGCTCACTTCCTTTCAGCCAACTTCCTCCAAACCTTCTTCCCCCCAGCTCACTTCTTTCAGCCAACTTCCTCCAAACCTTCTTCCCCCCAGCTCACTTCCTTTCAGCCAACTTCCTCCTAACCTGCTTCCCCCCAGCTCACTTCCTTTCAGCCAACTTCCTCCCAACCTGTTTCCACCTGCCCTACTTCCTCCGTTCCTCCCCCCACTGCCCGGCAGATCAACGAGATGGCGTCCAAGAGCCACCCAAACCTGGTGAGGCTGCTGGGGTACTGCTTTGACATGAGCTACGAGGCGGAGCGCATGGAGCAGATCGTGGTCTATGAGTTCATGGCCAACGGCGACCTCGACCGCTGGATCGGAGCTGGTGAGCTGAGCCTATACGGTCTGATTTGAAACAAATTGAGAAGCCACAGAGAACAGTGGGTGGATTGGAAAATCCACTGGTGAAGTAGGCAGACCGTGGTGTATGAGAACAGTGACCTCGGGCCAGACGAGCCAGCATTGTTTGTTTGTGTTGCGGACTTACTCTCAACAACCTCTCCTCTTCCAGCTTTACACGCTCGTGCAATTTATTGCTTCTATGCAATCCATGCTATGAACCTGAAGGGCTCCAATGCATGGCAACACAAGACTCTCAATCTATCCATACACACACTTACCTCCCCAACTCCCAACTGCCATGCCTTCCCCTCCCAGGCGCACCTCATCCTCTCACGATGCAGCAACGACTCGCCATTCTCACGGGCATGGCGCGCGGGCTGGAGTATCTGCACGGCTTCAGCATCGTGCATCGCGACATCAAGCCCGCCAACGTGCTGCTGGACGCGCGCATGCACGCCAAGCTCGCTGACTTTGGGCTGGTGCGACTTGGGGAAGGTACATCTGTGGCCGCCACGCGCGTCATGGGCACGCCGGGCTATGTGGACCCCGCTTACTACCGCTCCCACAAGGCCACTCCCAAGGCCGACGTGCACAGGTGTGGGTGATATGGTACTTAGAATTCCAGAAACTACTCCGTCTTAGAATTCCATAAAATACTCCGTCTTAGGATTCCAGAATATAATCCGTCTTAGAATTCCAGAAAATTCTCCGTCTTAGGATTCCAGAAAATACTCCGTCTTAGGATTCCAGAAAATACTTTGTCATGGACACACCAGGCTGCGTGGATCCTGCTTATTACCACTCTCACAAAGTTACTCCCAAGGATGACTGCCTTGTTTTCTTACCCTGCTGCCTACCTTGCTCCCCTTCCCTGCTGACTGCCTTGTTCCCTTACCCTGCTGACTGCCTTGTTCCCTTACCCTGCTGACTGCCTTGTTCCCTTACCCTGCTGCCTGCCTTGTTCCCTTACCCTGCTGACTGCCTTGATCCCTTACCCTGCTGACTGCCTTGTTCCCTTACCCTGCTGACTGCCTTGTTCCCTTACCCTGCTGCCTTATGTTTTTCTTCTCTGCGGCTGTCATCGCTGCCATAATTCCCACCTGTCTGCAGCTTCGGTGTGGTGATGCTCGCGGTGATCACGGCTCGCAAGGCCATCTACAACATCGATTCAAACCAAGTCAACCTCAAGCAGTGGGTCAGTCTCACACCAGCATCCAATGACCTGAGAAAATCAAACTCTTCTGTCTTTCCCTACCATGATCTGCTTTCATATCCGATCCTCCTTGCCACGAATCTTCACTCTCCCTTCCTCTCCTCTGCCTCTTCCCTCCCCTGCTCCCTTACTTCCCCCAATTGATCCACTCACAGGCAGCAGCCCTGGTGGCAGCAGGGGACGTGGCAGCCCTCAAGGACCCGCACCTGCAAGCACCGGACGACCTGGTGCTGCGCATGGCATGCCTGGCGCTCACCTGTACCGCCATGCCCACGGCGTCTCGCCCGGGCATGAGCCGTGTGCTGGCAGAGCTGCTGCTGCTCAAGGAGGAGTTCTTCGGGGAGGAGGAGGACCGCATGGCTATTAGGATCGACCACGAGATTGAGAGCTCCGAGCAGGTCGACTTCACCTTGGAGCTGGCTCGTCTTCAGGGGATTCAACATGGTAGTTAGGGAAGCCAGGGGAACTGTTGTTCAAATAATTCATGCCGACGAGTTTGAAGCTGTGCAAAACGTGCAATGTTCATGGTGTTTGTTATAAAAACAACAATTTAACCCCTTATTCCAGTTACTAGCTGCAGCCATCATTTGGTTAAGAAAATACGTGTTTTAGGTTATCTATACACGTCCATTTGTTCGAGTGAGAACAATGTTTATTATTTCAGTCAATTCAGGTCGCTGCACTCTCACCGTCAAGCTCGACAACTGCATTCTGACATCGTCGTCAGCATGCCAACTCATCAATATCCAGTTGAATCTCTGCCAATCCGCCATCGGTCGCCTCCCGCAGGCATTGCCTCACCGACCAGCCCTACCACCACCTAGGCACAAATATTCGCGAGCCCGTTTGCATGGTAACTTACTTCCTCGTGTCGTGAGCCTGCAATTTCCGTCTGCGAAACTGTTGTCACGTTTTCGCCATTTCATTTCAGAACAATGTGGCCGTGGGCCTCCTTGTCTCCATATTTCATGCTTCATTCTTGCATTCCCCTCTGTAGTAGTTCTCTGGCCTTTTAGACCAGATGGCTGACGAGCGCTCTACACGTTGGTTACCATTCATCAAGTGGCCAATTCCCTAGTCGAAAATTAGTTCTGGAGCCTCATTATGTGCTTCGAGTTTCCGCTTCAGACATTCCGGCAGCTCATTTTTAGTGAGTTCGATTTTGCGGCGAGTGACCCATTTTCACCACTCAATGGACCGTTTTTTTAGGTTTGCACTGCGAACAAAGACTAGTCGCTATTCCGCATAGAAATCACTCCTTCCCGGGGTTAATTACATTTCCTTCTCCAAATCCCTGTATCCCTCCTTTCCCCCGTGCGTATTGCCTCCAAAAATCAATTATTCAATCAACAGCCATGCCCTATCCCCCCTCTACTAGTTCGTCTCGGCACGCATTCAGCAGACAGCACCCTTAACGCATTTTAAGGCACCCCAAGCATTTCATCCCAAGCGGCACCCAGCGAGAGGAGCTTCTCGCGCAGCGGCTTTATCCTCCATTCCCCCGCAGGGGTGGTGAGGAAGGCGCTTCCATTCTCCCAGAGGCAGTGGTGTCAAGGCAGGGGCTCTCAGTTCCCACAGCAGACCCGTTGCTCGCAACAGAGTGTATAGCAATGGATGGAAGTATTGTCGTGGCCATTGTGTGGGGGTTTTTGATTGGTGTCGCACTGCTGTCGCTTATGCTGGCCTGTTTTCTCAAATATAAAAAGCACATATGGGCTGGCTTATTGAGCTTCTTCGAACTTGGAAGCAAGGGTGGGCACATGATTACCAGGCCGATGCCTGTAGGTTCTGCAGAGAAAGTCTCCAAGTTTACACCACGATCCAAAGAGTGTAATTTGCCACGTGGTCAAGCTGCCGCCAAAGCAAATCACATCAGTACCCACTGCAGAGGTACCTAAGGGGTTGACCCGGGCATCTAATGGAAATTCAGCGGCAGCAGCAGCAGCAGCAACAAAACCAGCACCACCAGCGGCAGCAGCAGGTGGATTGGTCCCAGGGCAGGTGGTTGTTGACATGCCCTCTGCATCAACAATGGGAGCAAAAGAAGAAGCAAAAGCAGCAGTAGCCACAGCAGCAATAGCAACTTCAGAGGTGGCTTGAGCAGGAGTCGAGAGGGAATCAAGCAAATCATCTTATGAAGCTCTACAGTCAGCAGCACCAGCAGCAGTGAGGGCAGCGGAGGAAGCAGCTGCGGCAGCAGCAGCTGCTGCTGCAGCAATGGGAGTGGCAGATCCAGAGTCAGCAGTGCAGCCACTACTGCGTGCTGCAGCCGGTGCTGGGCCTGACGTGTGCCAGCGATTCTCCTTTGAGGAGATGGCTCGGGCCACGGGAGGGTGGGCAAAGAGCAACCGCATAGGCAGCGGCAGCTTTGGCGACGTGTACAGGGGGGTGAATCCGCGGAATGCCAAGGAGGTGTGGGCTGTGAAGCGAGCTCGCGTTCTCACCAACGACTTCCGACGCAAGGTGAGTCTCCCTGCCCTGTGCCGCATATGCTTTATCAATTCTCAAAAGTGAGCCCGCGTCCCCGTACTAATGACTTCCAGCGAAAGGTGAGACTCCCTGCCGTGTGTTGCATTGGCTTGGTAATCTCAGCAGTATCAAGCTCTGCGATTACCAAGCATATCATACTTGGCATTGGTTTGGTTTATGGGATACGAGCAAGGTGTCGCTGCCAACTTTGTCTGTAGGGAGTTTTCCTTTCCCCCAACCAAATTCCTCCCAACCTGATTTCCCCCAACCTGCTTCCTGCCAACTTGCTTCCCCCCAACCTGCTTTCCACAAACATGCTTACCCCGAACATGCTTCCTCTCAACCTTCTTTCCCCTAACCTGCTTACCCGGAACATTTCTCCCACACAACGGCCCTTCAGACCAACGAGATGGCGGTGAAGAGCCATCCTAATTTGCTGCGGTAATAGTTTTTGAGAATTATAAGAAACCGGCCTGCTTCCCTCCCCCCCTCTCCCCCACCCGCCCTGCCTATTCCCACCCCACCAACCACCCGGCAGATCAACGAGATGGCGACCAAGAGCCACCCAAACCTGGTGAGGCTGCTGGGGTACTGCTTTGACATGAGCTACGAGGCGGAGCGAATGGAGCAGATCGTGGTCTATGAGTTCATGGCCAACGGCGACCTCGACCGCTGGATCGGAGCCGGTGAGCTGAGCCGATACGGCCTGATTTGAGACAGATTGAGAAGCCACAGAGAACAGTGGGTGGATTGGACAATCCACTGGTGAAGTGGGCAGACTGTGGTGTATGAGAATAGTCACCTCGGGCCAGACGAGCCAGCATTGTTTATTTGTGTTGCAGACTTACTCTCAACAACCTCTCCTCTTCCAGCTTTACACGCTCGTGCAATTTATTGCTTCTATGCAATCCATTCTAGACCCTCAATCCATGCTATGAACCTCAAGGGCTCCAATGCATGGCAACACAAGACTCTCAATCTATCCATACACACACTTACCTCCCCATCTCCCAACTGCCATGCCTTCCCCTCCCAGGCGCACCTCATCCGCTCACAATGCAGCAGCGGCTGAGCATCCTGACAGGCATGGCGCGCGGGCTGGAGTATCTGCACGGCTTCAGCATCGTGCATCGCGACATCAAGCCCGCCAACGTGCTGCTGGACGCGCGCATGCACGCCAAGCTCGCTGACTTTGGGCTGGTGCGACTTGGGGAAGGTACATCTGTGGCCGCCACGCGCGTCATGGGCACGCCGGGCTGAGTGGACCCCGCTTACTACCGCTCCCACAAGGCCACTCCCAAGGCCGACGTGCACAGGTGTGGATGATATGGTACTTGCACGTGTTTTAGAATTATAGGAAACACTCCGCCATGGTGCAGGATTATATGGTGTTCATGTGTTCTTTAGAATTCTAGGAAACACTCCGTCATGGGCACACCAGGCTGCGTAGATCCTGCTTATTACCACTCTCACAAGGTTACTCCCAAGGCTAACTGCCTTGTTCCCTGACCCTGCTGCCTGCCTTACTGTCAGAACATATCTATAGCTTATACTATTGTGTAGGCTGTAGTGGGGTATCCCATAGGGGGTACAACCCAGTTAGGGTTTCATATTTGTACTGTCTTCATTCATAGTACACACATTCCTGTTCTACAATTCTCACATGGTATCAGAGCGGGTTCCCTGTGGGAACTTCGCCTAGGGCCCACTGAAGCGCGCCCCGAGGCGCGCTAACCTTTTTTCCTCTCGCTCGAGCGACCCTCCGTGTCGCCCTTCCCTCGCGGCCCTGCCGCCCCTTTAGACGCGGCCCCGCCGCCATTTCAGACGCGGCCCCGCCGCCCATTTCGATCGCGGCCCCGCCGCCTGCTCAGACGCGGCCCCGCCACCTGCTCAGCCGCGGCCCCGCCGCCCGCTACGACGCGGCCCTGCCGCCTGCTCAGACGCGGCCCCTGCCGCCCGCTCAGACGCGGCCCCGCCGCCTGCTCAGACGCGGCCCCGCCGCCCGCTCAGACGCGGCCCCGCCGCCTGCTCAGCCGCGGCCCCTCCACCCGCTACGACGCGGCCCCGCCGCCTGCTCAGACGCGGCCCCGCCGCCTGCTCAGCCGCGGCCCCGCCGCCCGCTACGACGCGGCCCCGCCGCCTGCTCAGCCGCGGCCCCGCTGCCCGCTACGACGCGGCCCCGCCGCCTGCTCAGCCGCGGCCCCGCCGCCCGCTACGACGCGGCCCTGCCGCCTGCTCAGCCGCGGCCCCGCCGCCCGCTCAGACGCGGCTCCGCCGTCCCCTCTGCCGGCCCCGCTGCTGCACCTGACGGCCCTGCCGTCCCCTCTGACGGCCCCGCCGTCCCCTCTGCTAGCCCCGCCGCTGCACCTGACGGCCCCGCCGCTGCACCTGACGGCCCCGCCGTCCCCTCTGACGGCCCCGCCGTCCCCTCTGCCGGCCCCGCCGCTGCACCTGACGGCCCCGCTGCTGCACCTGCCAGCCCCGCCGTCCCCGCCGCTGTACCTGCCGGCCCTGCTTCGCCGGCCCCGCCGCCCCTGGTCTCGCGGCCCCGCCACCCTACCTGCAGCAGCCGAGCCGCCCACCTGCAGCAGCCGAGCAGCAGTGCAGCCAAGCCGCCCCGCACCCGAGCCGCCCGGCACCCGAGCCGCCCTGCCGCCGAGGCGCCCGGGAGCCGAGCCGCCCTGCACCCGAGCCGCCCGACACCCGAGCCGCCCTGCCACCGAGCCGCCCGGAAGCCGAGCCGCCCAGCAGCCGAGTCGCTGAGTCGCCGAGCCGCCCTTCTGCAGAGCTGCCCGGCCTGCCCCGCCTAGTGAGCACAGTCCCACTGTCACTGCGTGCTCTTCCCCTACTGCTTGCACTGCTTCGCTGTCGTCGCCATGGCTACCCCTAGTGTCCTAGCTTTTGACGCTGAGGGTCGCGCCATTGACTTTGAGGTCTGGGTCGACGACCTGCAGTTGTTTTTACAGTGCGATAGGGCAGACGGCCTCTCTCTCTTTGACCTCACTTGTGGCGCCTCTTCTGCCCCTGCTGCTGATGATGATCCCACTATGCGCTCTCAGTGGGCCACCCGCGATGCTGCTGCACGTCTTGCTGTGCGTCGCCACCTCCCTACCTCTGAGCGCGCGCACTTTAGTCAGTACAAGAGTGCTCAGACCTTGTACGACGCTGTAGTTGCGCGCTACTCCTCCCCTGCCACTGCTGCACTGAGTCGTCTCATGCTTCCCTACCTCTTTCCTAACCTCTCTGCCTTTCCCACTGTCGCTGACCTCATTACGCACCTCCGCACTAGTGACACTCGCTACCGCGCCGCCCTTCCTGCTGAGTTCTGCGCTAAGAATCCCCCCCCCATGTACATCACTCTCTACTACGTAGTCGCGCGCCTCCCTGACTCCCTTCGCGTAGTCAGGGACCACTTTCTCGCAGTCTGTCCAACCACCCTCACCGTCGACGTCGTCGAGAAGGCCCTCCTCGCGGCGGAGAAGAGCATCGTCGCTGTAGGAGCTTCTCGTGGTAACCCTCGCACCCCCATCTTTGAGGGGTGCTCTCCTTCCCCCCTCCTGCCCTCTGTTGCCTCTGCTGCTGCTGCCGACCTGCTTGGTCTCGAGTCGGTTGGCGCGGCGTCTGCCCCTAGTGGGAGACGCCGCTCTGGCAAAGGCAAGGGGGGCAAGGGCGCTGGTGGAGCTGGAGGAGGCGGTGGAGGTGGAGGTGGAGGCAGCGGAGGGAGTGGGGGTGGCGGCGGGAGTGGTGGAGGGGGTGGTGGTGGTAGTGGTGGCAGCGGCGGAGGAGGCGGCGGTGGTGGCGGCGGCGGTGGTGGTAGCGGCAGTGGTGGCGGTGACGGTGGGGGAGGCCGCGGCGGAGGAGGCGGTGGTGGCGGAGGAGGTGGAGCTCGTTGAGGCGGTACCGAGCAGCGGAGCGGCGGTGGTGGTGGTCAGCGCTCGCAGCAGCAGCAGCAGCAGTAGCGTTCGCGTGATGTCCCTCCGCCCCAGCAGCTCCGTGAGTGGTACACTCGGCGTCAGAGGGGTGGGGGTACTGGTCCTTGCACCTACGTCCTTTGTTCCGGCGACCGCGCGGGTGAGCAGTGTGGGGGTGCCCACCCCACCCAGCGCTGCTTTGGCCGCCTGACGGACGCTTGGCGTCAGCAGTTCCCCGGGGCTAGTGAGATCCCTCGCTGGGATGAGCTTCTTAGGGCTGGTGTAGCGATCTTTGATCTTGATTTTGATGCTATCCTTGCTCCTATGTATGCTGTGACTATTAGTGAGGAGGGTGACTGTTACCGGTGTTTCCCGCCCGACCCGGGCATTGGTACTGCTGCGCTAGGTGCTTGTGAGGCTGCTGCTCTAGGTGCCAGTGCGTCTGCGCTCTCAGGTGCTGGTGAGACTGCGCTCTCAGGTACTGCGTCGCCTTCGTCCTCCCTCACTTTCACACTTAACTCAGGAGCTTCTCGCTCCTTCTTTCGAGACCGCACCACCCTCACGCCGCTTGGCCGGCCGGTTGCGGTCTCCCTAGCTGACCCCTCTAGGGGTCCTGTCCTCTCTCACTTCTCTACTGTCCTCCCGTGTCCGGCTGCCCCCTCGGGCACACTGTCTGGTCTGTACCTTCCCTCGTTCTCGACGAACTTGGTGAGTGGTGCGGACCTACAGGATGCGGGGGTTCACCAGTTCACTCGTGCGAGTCAGCGGGTGACCCACTGCACGGACGCACGCACAGGCCGACACCTGGCCACGTTCTCACGTCGGCCGGGGTCGGGCCTCTACACCCTGACCACTACGTCTCCTCCTGTCCCTGCGTCTGGTCAGGTAGCTGCGTCAGGTCAGGTGCTTGCTGCTGCGTCCCGGTCAGGTCCTGAGTCTGCCCCCTGTTCTTGTTGCCTCCTGTCTCACAAGACTCTCCTGTGGCACCATCGTCTTGGCCACCCCTCCTTGCCCCGTCTTCGGAGCATGGCTTCCCGTGTCCTTGTCTCTGGTCTTCCCCGGTCTCTCCCTCCCCTTCCCTCCGGGCCAGGATCTTCCTGTGTCCCCTGTGTCGAGGGGCGCCTCCGGGCTGCTCCTCACTCCTCCCAGTTCCCCCTGACAGAGGCTCCATTGCAGACGCTTTACATGGACGTGTGGGGCCCAGCCCCCGTCCGTGGGCAGGGTCACGAGCGCTACTTCGTGTTGGTGGTTGACGACTACTCGCGTTACACCACAGTCCTCCCCTTGCGCAGCAAGGGTGCTGTCACTGAGGTGCTGATCGACTGGATCCGCGAGGCTCGTCTCCAGCTCAGGAAGAGCTTCGGCTCGGACTTTCCTGTTCTGCGTCTGCACTCGGACAGAGGTGGAGAGTTCTCCTCTCGCCTTCTGCAAGACTACTGTCGTGCACGGGGGATCCGCCAGACCTTCACGCTTCCGGACTCTCCACAGCAAAATGGGATTGCTGAGCGCCGCATTGGCATGGTCATGGATGTCGCTCGTACGTCCATGATGCATGCAGCAGCCCCCCATTTTTTGTGGCCGTTTGCGGTGAGGTACGCGGCGCATCAGCTCAACCTTCACCCCAGGGTCTCTCGGCCCGCGATGTCCCCAGTCTTGCTGTGGACGGGGAAGGTTGGCGATGCGTCGGCGTTCCGTGTCTGGGGATCTCGGGCGTTTGTCCGCGACTTGTCTGCGGACAAGCTGTCCCCTCGTGCTGCTCCCTGTGTCTTCCTTGGCTTCCCCACTGACGCTCCAGGGTGGCAGTTTTACCACCCCTCCTCTCGTCGTGTTCTGTCCTCCCAGGACGTCACGTTCGACGAGTCAGTCCCCTTCTACCGCCTCTTCCCCTACCGCACTCCTTCCCTCCCCCCTCCGCCGGACTTCCTTGTGCCGGTTCCCCCCCCGGTAGACCCCCTCCCCCCTCAGGTTCCTGCCCCCTCAGGTGTGTCCCAGGTAGACGCAGTTGACCCGGTCGAGGTTACTGGTGACTCTGGTGCTGCTGCGGGTGCTGACTCTGGGGGTGCTGTGCGCGGGGGTGCCGGGCCTGGAGGTGCTGCTACTGGGGGTGCTGAGCCTGGGGGTGCTGGGCCTGGGGGTGCTACTGCGGAGGGTGCTGAGCCTGGGGGTGCTGAGCCGGGGGGTGCTGTGCGTGGAGCTGCTGAGCTAGGGGGTGCTGGGTCTGGGGGTGCTGAGTTGGGAGCTGCTGAGCCTGGGGGTGCTGAGTCTGGAGCTGCTGAGCCTGGGGTTTCTCCGGCTGCTGCGTCTCGACGGGAGCCCCTCTCTCTACAGGAGCTGCGCGAGTGGTTTGCTCGCCGCTGGAGACGTGATGCTGGAGCTGGAGCTTCTTCGACCGTCGAGGGTGCTGGTGCTGCCGGTCCCGGAGCTGCTGGGCCTGCGGGTCCTACTGGAGCTGGAGCTGCTGAGGGTGTTGGTGCTGAAACTACTGCTGTCTGTCCTGGCGGTGGTTCTGCTGCTGGTGCTGCTGGAGGTCCTGCCGCTGGAGGTGTTGGTGGCGCTGGTGCTGTCGCTGAGGGTGCTGGTGCTGTCCCTGCTGAGTCTGGAGCTGCCGCGCGGCCTCGGCCGTACTTCGTTCCGCTCCTGCAGCAGGTTCTTGGTCTTTCTCCTCCAGTAGAGTGTCCACAGCCTGTCTAGTCGAAGTCACTGTTGGAGCCTTCCTCTCCTCTGCCTGCTCCCTCTCCTTACACTGGTCCTACTGGAGGTCTTACTGAGCGTCGTGAGCCTGCGTCTCGTCCCGCGTCGCCTGTCCGTGCTGCTCGCGCTAGTGGTCGCGGTTCGCGTCAGCGTCCTCCTCCTGTCCCTGGCACGCACCGGATGTCTCTGCGTCCGTCCACTGCTCCTCTGCGTGCCCCTTTGCCTTCTCCTCCTGAGTCCTCTCTTCCTCCGCTTGCCGACCCTGAGTCGGACTCTCTTCGTGCTGCCAGTCCTACTGTCACGCGTCTGCTTGCTACTGTCGTCACTGACCCCTCTTTTGAGTCCACTGCTGCGTCTGCTCTTGTCGCTGAGCTCGTCGACTTTGCTGCTCGCTGTCGTCTAGACTACGCTGCTAGTCTTGTTGCTGAGTCTGCGTCTGTCTCTCCTCCGTCCGTCGGGGGTGAGTGTGCTCTTGGCACGGACGTCCTTGAGGACAGGCAGGAGAAGTTACAGAGTGTGGCTGCTGCTTCACCTCATCTCGCGTCTGTACTGCTTGCTCCTGAGGGAGACCCGGATGCACTAGACATCCCGACTCCGCGCTCTTACGCGGAGGCCGTAGAGGGTCCCTACTCCTCTTAGTGGCAGGCAGCTATGGATGCAGAGGTGGCTTCCTGGAAGTCCATAGGCACCTACGTTGATGCAGTTCCCCCTCTTGGGGCGAACATCGTTAGTGGCATGTGGATCTTCAGGGTGAAGCGGCCGCCGGGCTCTCCACCTGTCTTCCAGGCGCGGTACGTTGCTCGTGGCTTCAGTCAGTGGCAGGGAGTTGACTAATTTCAGACCTTCTCTCCCACCCCGAAGATGACCACTCTTCGGGTGCTGCTGCACATAGCCGCTCAGCGCGACTACGAGCTTCACTCTCTCGACTTCAGCACTGCGTTCCTGCAGGGTAGTCTGCACGAGGAGATCTGGCTGCGCCGTCCACCTGGCTTCACTGGGACTTTCCCTCCTGGCACCCAGTGGAGCCTCCGACGGCCAGTCTACGGTCTCCGCCAGGCACCGCGTGAGTGGCACGACACACTGAGGACTACGCTTGCGGCTCTTGGGTTTGCTCCTTCTACTGCTGACCCGTCGTTGTTTCTGCGCACCGACACCTCTCTGCCGCCGTTCTACATCCTCGTGTACGTCGACGACTTGGTCTTTGCCACAGCTGACACTGCTCGACTCGCCCACGTGAAGTCCGAGCTGCTGAAGAGACACACGTGCACAGACGTGGGTGAACTGCGCAGCTACCTTGGCTTGCAGATCACTTGGGACAGAGCACGCCGCACCATTACCTTGACTCAGTCACACATGGTGCAGCAGGTCCTTCAGCGCTTCGGCTTCACGTACTCCTTGCCTCAAGCCACTCCTCTGTCTACTCGCCACTCGCTCTCAGCTCTGCCTTCGGATGAGTCCGTAGAGTCGAGTGGCCCGTAGCCAGAGCTTGTTGGCTGCCTCATGTACCTGATGACCTGCACACGACCTGACCTTGCATACCCTCTGAGCATTTTTGCACGCTATGTTGCTCCTGAAAGACACCGACCAGAGCACATGGCTGCAGCGAAGAGGGTATTGCGCTACCTGTGCAGTACGTCGGGCATGGGGCTAGTGCTTGGAGGGCGGAGTCCAGTGGTCCTTACAGGCCACGTGGACGCTTCTTGGGCTGACGACCAGGCTACGCAGCGGTCGTCACAGGGTTACACCTTCAGCCTTGGTTCCGGCTCTGTCTCGTGGCGGGCTACTCGTTCGTCTTCGGTTCTCAGCTCCAGTTGTGAGGCTGAGATCTACGCCGGGGCCATGGCTGCACAGGAGCTTCGCTAGCTCACCTACCTGCTGACTGACCTTGGAGAGCCGCCTCGTTCTCCTCCAGTGCTGTACGTAGACAACAAGGCCATGCTGGCCTTGTGTCGAGAGCAGCGTCTGGAGCACAGAACGAAGCACATTGCTCTTCGCTACTTCCTTGCTCGTGAGCTAAAGCAGCGTGGAGAGTTGCGGCTTGCGTACGTGGCCTCTGAGGCCAACACTGCTGATGTGTTCACCAAGGCACTCGCGCCTTGTGACCATCAGCGCTTCTGCACCCAGCTGGGTCTTGTGCCTGTCTTGCCTCACTTGCTCTCCTCTTGACTTTACTTGTACTGTGACATATATATACCTGCTCTTGCTTGTCTAGTTTTATATATATATGTCTGTACTCCTGCATGTGAACTGGCCTCTGGCCCTGCTCTTGTGCTCGGACTGTGTGGTGACTTTGTGATCCACCCTGAGCTTGCTTTGCTTTGCTTTTCTTGAGTGGTCTTGTGACCCCTTGTTATCCCCCACTTTGCCTATGGGGGTGTGTCAGAACATATCTATAGCTTATACTATTGTGTAGGCTGTAGTGGGGTATCCCATAGGGGATACAACCCAGTTAGGGTTTCATATTTGTACTGTCTTCATTCATAGTACACACATTCCTGTTCTAAAATTCTCACACTTACTCCCCTTCCCTGCTGCCTGCCTTTCTCCCCTTCCTTGCTGCCTGCCTTGTTCCCTTACCTTGCAGCTTGCTGTTTTTCTACTCTGCTGCCGTAATCGCTGCCTTAATTTTCACCTGCCTGCAGCTTCGGTGTGGTGATGCTTGCTGACTACCTTGCTCCCCTTCCCTGCTACTACCTTGTTCCCTTACCCCGCTATGTTCCTTGCTCCCCTTCCCTGCTGCGTGCTGTTTTTCTTCCCTGCTGCCCGTTCATTGCTGCCATGCTTCTTGTCCTGCCTGCAGCTTCGGCGTGGTGATGCTGGCGGTGATCACGGCTCGCAAGGCCATCTACAACATCGAGTCAAACCAAGTCAACCTCAAGCAGTGGGCCGGTCTCGCACCAACATCCAATGACCTGAAAAAATCAAACTTGTCTGTCTTCCCCTACCATGATCTGGTTTCATTCCGTTCCTCCTTGCCAAGAATTTTCACTCTCCCTTCCTCTCCTTTGCCTCTTCCCTCCCCTGCTTCCTTTCTTCCCCCCATTGATCCACTAACAGGCAGCATCGCTGGTGGGAGCAGGGGACGTGGGGGCCCTCAAGGACCCGCATCTGCAAGCACCGGACGACCTGGTGCTGCGCATGGCACGCTTGGCGCTCTCCTGCGCCGCCATGCCCACGGCGTCTCGCCCGGGCATGAGCCGTGTGCTGGCAGAGCTGCTGTTGCTCAAGGAGGAGTTCTTCGGGGAGGACGAGGACCGCATGGCTGTTAGGATCGACCACGAGATTGAGAGCTCTCATCAGGTCGACTTCAGCCTGGAGCTGGCGCGTATTGAGGGCATTCAATACGGTACTTAGTGATGTCAGGGGAAAGTAGAAGTTGCGTGCGGATTTAAAAGGGAGGAAGGAGAGTTGGGAAGGGAGTAGAGTGGAGGTGCATGGTGATATTTTCCACAAACCTAAGCCTCTCAATACCGTAAGTGTTCGCATGCAGGCATTGGCATTTGCAGCCATTTGTAGAAAGTGGTGTAAATAACGTCACTTTTTTCACAACATGCACTTCGCATAGTGAAACGCAATCATTTTTAGTTTCCAAGGAAAGATTTTGTCATTGATGTTAAGGTCTCTAATATTCTTGGGACACCTGAAAGATGTATCTTCACTTTTCTTATGAAACGTTTCTCTGTGCGTGTAGTGTGCCGCTCTCATTTGATTGTAATTCAAAGATCAATTACTAGCAGAAGAGCAAAATACTAGTTGAATGAGCAATTACTTCTAGCATCTCATCGGATCACTCTATAGGGCTAGCCTCAACCCATCCACCTTCACAGGGGCTGGCCTGCCTTTTATTCGCTGTCTTGCACACCAGTAGCTGCATGATTTGCACTCTAGTGCGCCGCACCACCTCGTTACAGGGCGTCCCGTTATTAGCAGCAACCGTTGCACCCATACACCCATCTCGCGACTACTTCTCTTAGAATTTGGTGCCGCTCTCGTAGGTCGTCCCGGCACTGCAGTCGCTCGGAATGACATTTTGCTACTCCACCTGGCTCCCACCGCCCGTCACGCGCACGCTCACGGGGCGTCCCGCATCGAGGACGTCCTTGGCGGGATTCAGCACCCACGTGGCGCCCCATCCGTACGTCGTCATGCTCGCCCACTGCGACCCGTCCTTCGACAGTTCCACGTTCTCCACGCAGCCGCTCCCCGCTGCTCCGAGAATCTGAAGCGCGAAGTTGTATGAGTTGCTATCGTCGACCAATCTGACCTTCAGGCCGTCGTTGCTAGGGCAGTCCATGCTGCGGTAATCGATCTCCACGCGCCCCGCGGCCCAGTCGGCGACGATTCTGTCCCACGCGGCAAAGTTGAGGTTGAATTCGTCGTTTTGGCCGACCGCTCGCACGAGCACGCTGCCCTCCAAGCAGCTCGGGTGGTTCATGCAGCATCGCGGAAATGCGAAGGGCCCAAAGTCACAGAAATGTAACTTTTCCGTGACTTTTTTACGTGACGGAAAAGTCATGGTCAGAAGTACCAAAAACTCAAGTCACGGAAATGTCACGTTGGAGTCCCGAAATTTCATACACAAAGTCACTGAAATGTGACCGGTGAAGTGATGTTCTCGTCACCTTTTTGTTCCCATGCCACGTGGCCAAACCGCGTTTCATCTTTCCAGATATTTTGCCACGGTTTCATGTTGGTGATTGGTCGAAATCGACCAATCAAATGGGAGTTCTGGGTGTGTCCAAACGTAATTTCATTCGCTAACGATTCTGAATAGTGACCGCACGTTGCACACTAAACACAGCATAGTACAGCGCACGTCGAAACAGCACAACCAACCTCCTGTCAGATTTGTATGACATAGCTGTTGTAGGCTGCAGTGGGGTGGCACATATGGGGTATAGCTTTCTAGGGTTGTATTTGTACCCAACTTTCACTTAGTCATTTCATTCTCGTTCTAAGTTTCTCATGGTATCGAGCAGGTTCCCTCGTGGGAACTGTGCCTAGGGCCCACCACATCGAAAATTTGTTTTTCCTGCCTGGATCGCGCTCCCCGAGTCGCGCTCCCCTCTCTACCTTCGTCGAGCCGCCCTAGCGGCCTCCCTTGCGGCCCCGCCGCACTGACTTGCGGCCTATCGCCGCCCTCACCTGCGGCCCGTCGCCGCCCTCCCTTGCGGCCCCGCCGCCCTCACTTGCGGCCCCGCCACCCTCTGTTGCGGCCCCGCTGCTCTCACCTGCGGCCCCGTCGCCGCCCTCAGCTGCGGCCCCGTCGCCGCCCTCACCTGCGGCCCATCGCCGCCCTCACTTGCGGCCTCGTCGCTGCCCTCATATGCGGCCTCGTCGCCGCCCTCACCTGCGGCCCGTCGCCGCCCTCACCTGCGGCCCCGCCGCCCACAGTTGCGGCCCCGCCGCCCTCACCTGCGGCCCCTCCGCCTTCATTTGCGGCCCGTCCTCGCCCTCACCTGCGGCCCGCCGCCCTCAGTTGCGGCCCCGCCGCCTTCAACTACTGCAACGCCGCCCGCCGCCTGAGCCGCCCGAGCCACCTCACCCAGCTGAGCCGCCAACCGCCGCGCCGCCCTACAGCAGCACACCCGAGCCGCCCAGCATCAGAGCAGCCGAGCCGCCGAGCCGCCGGGTCGCCCTGCAGCCGAGCCGCCCAGCCGCCGTACAGCCGAGCCGCCCAACAATCGAGCTCCCGTACCGCCCAGCCATTCTTCCGCCGAGCCGCCCGTGCAGCACTGTCCGGTGAGCACAGCACCTCTGTCATTGCACTGCCCTTTCCCTACTGTTTGCACTGCTGGTCTACTGTTGTCATGGCTACCCCTAGTGTCCTCGCTTTTGACGCTGAGGATCGAGCCGTTGACTTTGAGGTCTGGGTCGACGACCTCCAGCTATTCTTACAGTGCGATACGGCAGACGGTCTCTCTCTCTCTTTGACCTCACCTCTGGCGCCTCTCCTGCCCCTGCTGCTGATGCTGACGCCACTGTTCGCTCTCAGTGGGCCACCCGCGATGCGGCTTCACGTCTTGCTGTGCGTCGCCACCTGCCTACCACTGAGCGCGCGCACTTTAGCCAGTACAAGAGTGCTCAGACCTTGTACGACGCTGTAGTTGCGCGCTACTCTTCCCCTGCCACTGCTGCACTGAGCCGCCTCATGCTACCGTACCTCTTCCCTGACCTTGCTGCCTTTCCCACAGTCGCTGACCTCATTACGCACCTCTGCACTAGTGACACTCGCTACCGCGCTGCGCTTCCTGTTGAGTTCTGCGCCAAGAACCCCCTCCCCATGTACATCACTCTCTATTACATAGTCACCCGCCTCCCTGACTCCCTTCGTGTAGTCGGGGACCACTTCCTCTCAGTCTGTCCCACCACTCTCACTGTTGACCTCCTTGAGAAGGCCCTCCTAGCAGCGGAGAAGAGCATAGTCGCTGTAGGAGCCTCTCGTGGTGACCCTTGCACCCCCATCTTTGAGGGGTGCTCCCCTTCCCCCCTTTTGCCCTCTGTCGCCTCTGCTGCTGGTGCCGACCTCGTTGGTCTTGAGTCGGTCGGTGCGGCGTCTCCCCCTAGCGGGAGACGCCGCTCTGGCAAGGGCAAGGGGGGCAAGGGCGCGGGTGGAGCTAGCGGGGGTGGTGGAGGTGGCGGTGGAGGCGGCGGAGGGAGTGGGGGTGGCGGTGGGAGAGGTAGCGGGGGTGGAGGTGTCGGTGGCAGCAGTGGAGGCGGAGGCGGCGGAGGCGGCAGCGGTGGGAGCGGAGGCGGCGGTGGTGGCGGAGGTGGAGGAGGCGGCGGTGGAGGAGGTGGAGCTGGTCGGGGTGGCGCTTCGCAGCGGAGCGGCTCCGGTGGTGTTCCGCGCCAGCAGCAGCAGCAGCGGTCTCGGGACATCCCCACTTCTCAGCAGCTCCGTGAGTGGTACGCGCAGCGTGAGCGTGGTGGGGCTTTTGGTCCGTGCACCTACGTCCTTCGCTACGGCGACCGCGCGGGTGAGCAGTGTGGGGGTGCCCACCCCACCCAACGCTGCTTTGGCCGCCTGACGAACGCTTGGCGTCAGTAGTTCCCAGAGGCTACTGAGATCCCCCGCTGGGGAGAGCTGTCTAGGGCAGGTGTAGCCATCTATGATCTTGACTTTGATGCTATCCTTGCTGCAATATATGCTGTGACTATTAGTGATGAGGGTGACTGTTACCGGTGTTTCCCGCCCGACTCGGGCATTGAGACTGCTGCTCTGAGTACTGGTGAGGCTGCTGCTCTAGGTGCCATTCAGGCTGCTGCTCTAGGTGCCAGTGCGTCTGCGTCCTCAGGTACAGGTGAGTCTGCGCTCTCAGGTAGCACGTCGGCTTCAACCTCCCTCACCTTCACAATTGACTCAGGGGCTTCTCGCTCCTTCTTTCGAGTCCGCACCACACTCACGCCTCTTGGTCGGCCGGTTGCAGTCTCCCTGGCAGACCCTTCTGGGGGCCCTGTCCTCTCTCACTTCTCTACTGTCCTCCCGTGTCCAGCTGCTCCCTCTGGAACCTTGTCTGGTCTTTACGTCCCCTCGTTCTCTACAAACTTGGTGAGTGGTGCTGACCTCCAAAATGCGGGGGTTCACCAGTTTACTCCTGCGAGTCAGCGGGTGACCCACTGCTCGGACGCTCGCACTGGCAGGCACCTGGCCACGTTTACGCGTCGGCCGGGGTCGAGCCTCTACACCCTGACCACTGAGTCTCCTCCTGTCCCTGCGTCTGGCCAGGTAGCTGCGTCGGGTCAAGTGGTTTGCTGTAGCGTCCAGGTCTGGTCCTGAGTCTGCCCCCTGCTCGTGTCGCCTCCTGTCTCACGAGACACTCCTATGGCACCACCGTCTTGGTCACCCCTCCAAGCCTCGTCTCCGAGGCATGGCTTCCCGTGTCCTTGTCTCTGGTCTTCCCCGGTCCCTCCCTACCCTTCCTCCGGGGCCTGGTCCTTCATGCGTCCCCTATGTCGAGGGGCGGCTCTGGGCTGCCCCGCACTCCTCTCAGTTTCCCCCGACAGAGGCCCCACTGCAGACGCTTCACATGGACGTGTGGGGCCTAGCCTGCGTCCGTGGACAGGGTCACGAGCGCTACTTCCTGCTCGTGATTGACGACTACTCGCGTTACACCACAGTCTTCCCCTTGCGCAACAAGGGTGATGTCACTGAGGTGTTGAAAGATTGGATCCGTACAGCTCGTCTCCAGCTCACGAGGAGCTTCGGCTTGGACTTTCCTGTTCTGTGTCTGCACTTTGACCGAGGCGGAGAGTTCTCCTCTAGCCTTCTGAGAGCCTACTGCCGTGTGCGAGGCATCCGCCAGACCTTTACGCTTCCGGACTCTCCACAGCAAAATGGGATTGCTCAGCGCCGC